CAAACATGGGGTAAAACGTGGTTAGAGAGGGGGGCTATGTTTCGTAGTTTAATGACGGCTGGTGCTTTGATGTGTGATGAATTTATTCGAGTGGACTTTCTGGAATTTCAACTGACGCGTATAGGGAATTTTTTTTTTTTATCCGATTCTACAATTTGGTGATGCATCGTGGTTCTGAAGCGTTGTACATCGTTCCGTTGGTTATTAGTGTTGGCAGTTAGCGTGTATAAAGTGGCTTTAGGAAGAGTTGGAGTACTCGAAGGTTTTACAGACAAAAACTGATGGAATTTGCTGGTTGTTCCATTGTGCGAAATTCCATGCTTTTTATGATTGAAGCTTAAGTTTTGATTGCTTTTGGAGATTTGTCGATATATCAGAGATCATTTGTTTTTAACAAAGTTATTATTTAGCGCTTAACCTCAGATTTTCATATTCTAACCTCACTTTTCAGACAGGGTCAAAACGAAGAGACTTTCTGTTTTTTACCATGAAATTGAATCCTGCAAATAAAAAAGTGGTAATATATTAAAGTAGATTATTAAAGAGCAAATTATAATTAAAGTAAACGAAACTAACCTCAATTTCTAGGATAAGAGGATAAGAGATTTTTGAATTTACACAAACATCCGCATTGTGATATTTTTTTTTTAAGGAGAAGAATGTGCAAACCGATCGAGCGTAACGCGAGAACTGATTCTCTTGAAGTAGAGATGCTGTTCGCGAAACTCGTAGTATCTTGAAAGCAGACGCGGGTAGCGTAAGCGAGTCTCATTCATAAACCTAAAATCAATGACGGATTGGTAGAAAGAAATTCGTGGCCTGCGATTGGACGTGCACTGTCGCCATGATGGCATCGTTGGCCAATCCGCGCGCTCGCCTCGTTTTCTACAGCTTGTACACTCGTGGCCGACTATCTCCTTCTCTCTCCATTTCTCTTTTTCCTGGGTTTCATTGTCTCTCTTCTCTCCTTTTGTTCCCCTATCTCCTTGACTCGCTTCTTCCCCTCTTTCTTTTCACTCCCGTTTAATGTTTTACGAGTGTTCCTCTTCTTTTTCCCCCCCTCCATTCTAAAGCATGCATTTTCCTCTAATTTTTCCTCTTTGCGCGATTTCCCCTAGATTCAGTTACATTTTGATTACATCATCTTCTTCTCGATTCTCTCGTTTTCTCTTTGCATTTTCACTTATTTCAGTTGGTTCTTTCTTTCCTTCGCTTGAGTTTCACAGGTTCTTACGTTTCATTCGTGTCTAGTTACTTTTCACCGTTTTCGATTCAGCTTCGATCCACAAACCGGTTTAACAACGAGCTTGATCGAAATCTCGTATAAGTCAGCGTAATCCCGATTTAAGTTAATGAAAGCCTAATCCGGATTTAATCCAAGTCCAATTTCAAAGCTAACCCAAACATCGCAGCGTAATTCACGTTGCAAGTAGCAGACCTAACCTAAGTCGTTGCAAAGCCAACCCAAACATCGACTCTGATGTCTGAGTTTGCAAGGAGCCGACACGATTTCCACGCGAATCGTTTTGACGAAACGAAAAAAAAAAAAAAAAAAGAGAAGAAAGAAAGAAACTCTCGTTTCCAAGACAGAGTATGAAACGGCGTTCCAATTCTCATTATAGCGAGTTCCTAGTGCCGCAATCCGGCGAGTTTGTCTAGTTTTTAAGACAAATGGCGCATTGCGTGCACCAGCCAGGCGCAGTGCGCTAGTTAAACGACGAACCGAAGGAACTTCGAAGACGGACAACCAACCTTTACACTGTGAATTCCATCCTGTGTGTCTCTTCGATCGAATCGTATTAAATGCTTTCAAACCACGTGATTCTCTGATTTCACTTCGTAACTTCACTCCATTGTTCTCTTTTTAGGTTAGGGTTCATCGATCGGTGTATCGATTGACAGGCTGGATTTCAAAGCAGTCGATGATTGCTCGATTACGAGCGAGATTAATCGGCAATTATAGAGCTCACTTCCGACTGGTCGCTGGCAATCGGAAGCGAGAGGATTGGGGCGCGAGATTTGAATCACCCCAAGTATGAAATTGGGATATTACTAAAGTTTAGTAGATTTAGTTACATTTTTCAATCGATGGCACATTGAAAATAGATGGGAACATATGAAACTAATCGTTTAGTGGATAGGAAAATATTAATATTTTGCAATTTTGGAATGTACGAATTTCGAGGAATACGAAAAGGAAGTAACGATCGCGGTTTTTATTGATGTCACTAGAGGCGAAAAAAAAAAAAAAAA